GAGCCAGGACAGATAAAGCCGTCTCAAACTGGATTATTTTTGCTGTGTGTTTTGGACCACAGTCTTTGTGAACTCGGTGGTACTCACTCCCAGGTTACAGTAACAAAAGCTTTGTTATTGCTATCTTTTTATTCTGCAGCTCCTCCTATCTTCCTTTACTCACATGAAGGTTACAGTAGCTGCATCTACATTGGAAAATTAACGCAGTTTGACACCGCTTTAACTGCCATGGCTCAATGGCTCAATTCTGGGAACTGTAGTTTTGTGAAACATTTAGCCTCCTTGAGCTGGATCTACATTGGCTGAAATATCCCAGTTTGAGACTGCTTTAACTGCCATGGCTCAGTGCTAGGGAATGCTGGAAACTATAGTTTTGTGAGGCCTTCAGAGTTCTGATGCCCCAGTAAACTACAAATCCCAGGATTCCACAGCACAGAGCCATGGCAATTAGAGCGGTGTCAAACTAGATTAATTCTCCAGTGTAGAAAGCCCGACATAACAGAACACTAAAATAAGCAAACTTCCAAAATTGCGGCCTTTGCGCGCATGCGCCGAAACACAGCCCACTCTCGCTGTTGAGTGGCGGCTTCCGGAGGACCTCGTTTCCCGTGGTGCACCGCGACGCCGTTTATCCTTCAGCCAATGGAGTCGGCGGCGCTGGCGTTCTGCGTGCCCCGTGGCCTGACGGGGATTGTAGTCGAGAGGCGGGGGCCGCTGAGTGGGCGCCGGCCCTGGGTGCTGTTGGAGTTTGGCGGATGAGAAGTAAGCCCTTAGGAGAAGGCTCTCTGGCGAAATATGTTTTCTTTTGCCCAGGAAAAGCGGTTTATGGGTGGGACGGAGAAGGCGGTTTCCGCGCTGCGGAAATAATCTAGTTTGACACGGCTTTAACTGCTGCCCTGGCTCAGTGCTAGGAATCCTGGGAACTGTAGTTTGTTGCGGCCCTTCTGACTCTCCTGGGGTCAGAGCCCCCTTTGGGGTTCCTAATAAGGAGGGAAGGCGGGGTGTCCAGGCGTCCTCCTTTTCCAGGACATGCTCTCCGTCCTCCCGTTTGGCATTCCTCCTGACCTTGGGCAAGTCACACTCTCTCAGCCTCAGGGGAAGAAGGCCGTGGCAAGCCTCCTCTGAACAAATGTTGCCAAGGAAGCCCCATGATAGATTGGCCTTAAGAGGAGCCATAAGTTGGAAATGACTTGAAGGCACACAACGGTAACCAAAGAAACATGGATTTACATCTGCATGAGTGTCTTTCCCCCCCCCCCTTGAATGTCCTACATTTTAGCAGTGCCTTGTCCTCCTCTGGTCGCCCTGAACAGGTGCCCCATAACCACAAAGGAAGACGCAGCACTGCAAAATGTAGGACAGTCAAGAAAAATGTGAGACACGCAATGAAAACACTCGTATAAATAAATATACAGTAAATTCATTTCAGGTGTGTGTTGTTTGCCTTCAAGTCATTTCCAACTTATGGTGACCCTATGGCGGCAAACCCAACGTGGAGGTTTCTTGACAAGATTTTTGTCCAGAGGAGGTTTGCCGTTGCCTTCTTCCCCTGAGGCTGAGAGCGTGTGACTTGCCCAAGGTCACCCAGTGGGTTTCATGGATTCGAACCCTGGTCTCCCAGAGTCAGTAGTCCAATGCTCAAACCACTACGCCACATTGGCTGTCTTCTATGCTCCAAGAAGAAAGTAAGGGGGGTTGCAGACTGCCAGAAATAGTGCAAATTGAGTCCACTTTTAGGGTTAGGGTTAGTGCTAGGGAATCATGGGAATTGTTTTTTTCTGAGACATTGAGTCTTCTCTGTCAGAGAGCTCTGGTGCCACAATAAAATACAGTTCCCATGATTCCCTAACCCTATTCGCAAATGAGTTTACTGTCCGGTGAGCGAGTGTAGAATTGCAACCTCAACCACTTAACAGATTTATTATGGCATAAGAATATGCAGACTGTGGAAACGTGTGACAAGTCTTTCAGGAACCACAAGGCTCTTGGTTGTTTGTGTTGCAGTCCTGTAACATGGCTAACTTGGGACTTGTGAAGGCAGATAGCTGAGAGAATTAGCTGGGATTTAGAAGTTGCAAAACTTAATTCTTGGTGGTCAGTGGAATCTTCTATTATGGGTTCAGAATATACAGTAAATTCTTTATTTTGTAGGTAAAAAGTGAGATTGAGCCAGTGTGGTGTAGTGGCTTGAGCATTGGACTATGACTCTGAAGAATGGGGTTTGAATCCCCGTTCAGCCATAGAAACCCTTTGAGTGACCTTGGGCAAGTCACATGCTCTCAGCCTCAGAATATGGCAATGGCAAACCTCCTCTGAAGAAACTTGCCAGGAAACCCCTGTGATAGGTTCTCCTTAGGGTCACCATAAGTCGGAAACAACTAGAAGGCACACAACAACAACAACAAAGTGAGGTTGTACAGTGTTGGCAAGCTGTTCATCAAGGGAAATGCTAGAGCCAGAGGTTTCATCCTTGTTGTTTTCCCCTGAGAACTGAAGGTGGCTTAGCTGCTTATGCCAGTTTCCACATTTTTGCTTCTAGTAAACAGATTTTTACAGGGATTGTAATGTTTTAGAAACCTCCACAGATCACGAGTAATTCTTGAGTGGGGCTGGGGGAGATGTGTCTGCATGAAAAGCTGAGTCTTATTCATATTATTTTATGAATGATAAAGTAATGATAAAGCTAAAGAATGATAGTTGGGGTGCAGCCTCATGCTTTGCTTTTACATGTAAAAGATTGTGGCTTTGGGCCTTTGCAGACTGCCAGAAATAGTGCAAATTGAGTCCACTTTAACTGCCCTGGCTCAGTGCTAGGGAATCATGGGAATTGTATTTTTTTTCTGGGACATTGAGCTTTCTCTATCAGAGGGCTCTGGTGCCACAATAAACTACAGTTCCCATGATTCCCTAGCACTGAGTCAGGGCAGTTAAAGTGGCCTCAATTTGCAACATTTCTGGCAGTCTGCAAAGGCCCTTTCTTTTGCTGAAGTTGTTGAGTAAGGCCCATCTTTGCTCAGGTTCACTTTTGTTTGCAATGTTGGTACTCACTTTCACTGTTTTTAGTGCTCTTGCTTCTTAAAAACCTCAAGGACCATAAGTTATTTTGTGTTTTATCTTGTTTCTCGCTGTCGGACAGAGGTCTGGCTCTGATGCCTTCTTTCAGGATTTGTTTCAAGCCATTAATTTTTCTTTTAAAAAATTGTTTAGAGGCCTGGGCCATTTGATTTGTCATTTGTTGACAGGGAGTGTGAATGGATTTGTCACATGCCCAGTTTGTCAGTGCCTTGTCTGTGAGAAGATATGTGACACTAATGGGTGCACTGGCAGATTCATCTATCACTGGGAGATAATCCAAGCTGACTTTGGCCAAGGTAAAAGCAACCTGGTTTGACATCAGTTCAAAAAACAAAACAAGCACCCTGCTGTATGACTCATCCCCGCATCTGGGCTGAAATGAAATGCTACCATGCAAGGAATAGTCACATTCTTTAAACAAAATAAACCAAACTGAGCAGCTTGAAACTTTACTTTTGAGGTTATAAACAAGAATGATGTTCAAAGTAATGGAATAGTGTTATTTCTGCCTGTATTTTTTTTTTTTTTGCTACATGCTATAATTTGGGGATTCCTTCTCTCCTCCATCTTGATATTTTTCTAAGTGTGATAATGTTTTTGTTGTTAGCTGTCATCAGGTTGACTTTGACTTATGACAGCCCCATAAATGAGAGAGCTCCAAGTTACCCACCATCAACAGCCCTGTTGAGGTCTTGCAAACTCAGGGCTACATTTTCTTGATTGAGTCTATCCATCTGTAATGCAGTCTTCCTCTTTTCCTACTCTTTTCCATCTTACCAAGTATTATTGTTTTGTCATATCTTTTCATAATATGTCCAAAGTACAACAGACTCAGTTTAGTTATCTTGGCTTGTAGGGAGAGTTCAGGCCTGATTTGCTCTAGGACCCATTGATTTTTTTTTAGGAGTCCATGGTATCTGCAGAAGTCTTCTCCAGCACTGCATTCAAATGAATTGATTTTCATCCTATCAGCATTCTTTACTGTCAGCCTTTCACAACCATAGATAGAAATGATAAATTTAGCATTAATGACATGTCTTGACACTTTAGGATCTTGTCTAGTTCTTTTATAGCAGCCCTTCCAAGTCCTAGTTTTCTTCTGATTTCTTGACTGCAGTCCCCATTCTGATTACATGACTGAGCCAAGACATGGAAAATATTGAACTTTTTCAATGTCTTCATTGTTTACGGTACTTCAAAGTTATATAAATTATCTGTTGTCATTTTTGTTTTCTTAATGTTCAACTGTAAACTTGCCTTTTTGCTTTCTTCCTTGACTTTCTTCAGTAATCTGTTTCAAGTTTTTACCATTTTCTGCTAGCATTATGCTGTCATCTGCATATATTACATTGTTGATGTTCCTTCCTCCTATTTGCATGCCTCCTTCCTCCATGTCTGATCCTGCTTTACATATGTTATGTTCAGCATACTAGTTAAACGGTTAGGATGATAAAGTGCCCCTTGCCTGATTCCCTTGCCAACTGGAAACCATTTGATTTCTCTGTATTCTGTCCTAACAGTAGCCTCATTCCCTGAGTACCGGTTATATATCAGGACAATCAAATGGTGGGGCACACCCATTTTTATAAGAGAGATCCATAGTTTTTCATGCTCTATACAATCAAAGGCTTTGCTATACATATATAAGACATAGGCTTCAGTACCCAATGTATGTTTTCTATGTGATCTCGAGTGCCTCTTCTTTACCTGAACCCAAGCTGGACATTTCTTGCTCCACATATGGTAAAAGTCTTTATTGTAGAATTTTGAGCATCACTTTTCTTGCATGAAAATTAATGCAGTGGTCCTGTGGTTACTGCAATACCTGGAGTCCCCTTTCTTAGTGACTGGATTGTATATTGAGTGTTTATAGTCTGTGGATCTTTTTTGTTTTCCATATTTGTTGACAGATTTTAGTTAGAACTAGAGTAGGTTCTGTCTTTGTAGATTGAAGCAGCTCTATTGTCATCTGTTTCTGGTGATTATTTCAACAAAGTGCTCTTAAGTGCAGCTTCCACTTCACTTTTGAAAACTGGAGGTTTGTATCCAAATTATTCCTCCTTGAATGAATCTCTTACCCTTTCATCTCTTTCATAAAATTCTTCTGTGTATTGTTTCCAAAATCTTTTTATTTCCATTTCCTTGGTCATGCAATGTGTTGCTGTGCTGATCATAGAGCATCTCCTCTCTTGGTTTAAATTTCCTTTTAATGTCTTGTGGAAGAGGTCTCTTGTTCTTCCATTTTTTGTTGTCATCTTATATTTCTCTGAATTGATTATTACATTGATTCTCTTTGTCCCTCTTTGTTGCTGAGCAGTTGCATTCAATGTTTTGACTGTATTTCTGTCACCTTTACCTTTGGGCCTTTGCAGACTGCCAGAAATAGTGTAAATTGAGTCCACTTTTAGGGTTAGGGTTAGTGCTAGGGAATCATGGGAATTGGTTTTTTTTTCTGAGACATTGAGCCTTCTCTGTCAGAGAGCTCTGGTGCCACAATAAAATGCAGTACCCATGATTCCCTAACCCTAACCCTAAAAGTGGACTCAATTTGCACTATTTCTGGCAGTCTGCAAAGGCCCTTTGTTTTTTGCCTGTCCTTAATTGTTTGAATAGTTTCTTCTGCCATACATTGATACTTCTTTTTCTTTTTTGCTATAGATACTGTTGTTGTTGTTGTTGCATTTCTCCCTGACTGTGTCCCTGGCTTCAGTCCAGACTTCTTCTGGCTTCGGTTAATTATTCACATTACAGTATCTTTAAATTCTACAGAGATGTACCTGTGGTTTATTTTGACATGATGGTTGGCTTAGTGTTCTTCTTTAGCTTTATTCTAGTTTTTGATATTAGTAATTCATGGTCTGTGCCACAATCTGCTTCTAGTCTTGTTTTTGGAGAGAGAATGGAGCTTCTCCATCTTCTGTTTCCAATTATATAGTCTATTTGATTTCTGTGTTGGCCATCAGGTTATGTCCATGTATACAATCATTTGTTGGATTGTCTGAAGATATGTTTGTAATGAACAAACTGTTGGCCTCATAAATTCAATCATGGCTTCATTTCTTGATCCTAGGCCAAATCTTCCTACAATTCTGCTCCAGAGTTGGTTGGTTTAAACCCAGTTGGTTTAAACCAAATGACTTTTAAATAAAACAAAACACTCCTCATTATTTTAATTGATTATTCAATAAAAAAAATCTGGGTATTATTGCTGTTATCCAACCTTCCTACTGGAACAACAGTGACTGTTTGAATTTAAACATTTTAACTTGAACAAGTTATTGACAGGTGTTCATTGTTAGATCAGTATCTAGTGTCATTTGTTTCTTTTTAATCACTTTATTTTATAGTGTAAGAAATGCAATTCAGAAACAAATTCTTCAATTCACATACCGTATTTTCCGGCGTATAAGACGACTGG